CCCTCCCCGGCTCTCCCCACCCCTCTCCGAGCCGTTCGCGCCTCCCTCCCGGACAAGAGGCTCGATTTCACCGTCTTTCCCCTCATTATTGCTTGGCAATGGTGGCAGGACAGTCACGGACTTACACACACACCGCGACCCCATTTCCCCGCTTGTGCTGTTCCCGAGACAGGTGCAAGGTGCTCCCCATCACTCCCTGTCCCCGCAGCCCAGCTTCCCTGCGTTCCCTACTTCCAGGCGCCCTCGGCTCTCGCTCCAGAGCCTGCAGGGCTGCTCCAGCCCCGCTCCTGCCCTTCCAGCTCGGCTCACGGGTCTCTGAGGGAAGCCATCTGGGACCTGCGCCTGGCAGCATCTCCGGATGAGGGATTGCAGTGGGCAAACAGCACTGACTCTTCCATGCTGCAAAAGGAGCATCTCTGTTTCCTCGCACTGACACCACCCGACCGCAGTCCCGGACTCTAGTTCAGCGTGCCTGGAGTGTGTACGCTTGGCTTAAAGCCTTCACTGCAAAGTGAGGAAACATCTTGAAGTCACTTTGAGAGAGTTCAAGTCGTTCCCTGAAGTCTTTTGTGATACAGAAGAGTGAACCAGTGAGAAGTTCAAACAAACTGTCATTGCTATCTGCTAAACTACCTTCCAATGTAATTTGGTGCTTCTTTTAAGGTATGAGGGACCCAAGGGAATGAATCAGGACAGCTCCCAGTTCCTGTAAGAGCTGTCCTCATGAAGAGAGCTTAGAACGAACACTGGGAATGGGGCACAAAAGCATCTTTTTTCCTGAGGCTGTGGGTAAACATAATATCCAGCTGTTTGCATCCTGCCATGCATGATCACACTGATCTTTCTCTTGAAAAAAACCCGAGTGTGTCAGTAAAAGATGATGGAACCAAACGAATTGTGTTAAATCTATTCCTCTCCTCCTGTTCCAACTGAAGTTGGAACACATCCAGATTTGAATTTCCAAAGTTTGGCACCTCTTTTCAGAGGTTACACTGAACTTTGAACAACTTGGTCTTCATGTTTGAATCTGAATCCACTTTTGTTCCTCTTCACACACAGAAAAACAACAGGGTAACACATATATTAGCCTATGCTTCCTTAGTCTTGGGCAGATAAGAGCAAAACAGGTTTCACATGAACCTGTCCGAGGTCAGGGACACTCCATCAAGTGTTACTGGACTCAGATAAAGGGGATCAAAGATGCCGAAATAACAGTATAAAATCACTCTGAAACATCTGCAACTACAAACACAGATGGGGAGAGGGAACAGCAGCTCTGCAGGTGAAGCCCTTGCTGCTGGCTGCTTCAGATAAGGACAGTGTTTGCCTCTAACCCAGCCAGCTCCCTCTGCCCTCCAGCAGGGAACTGGACGGAGACTTGTGGGAGTCTCCCCTACTCCCCTCCTTTGTCCCCCTGACCTTGCACCTGATCATTCAATCTGACCCTTCCTGCACTTGCTGTCTCAGGTCAGTCCCACCAAGGCAGAAATGAATGCGGGGGAGCAAGCAGCACAGATTTTCACAGAGAAGCATTTGGAGGCCACACTTGGATCCTCTAGAAAGGTGTTCAGGTAATTAGGGTGAGCTTACCTGTCCATCCCAAGTTCCTAGCTGCTGTAACCTCGTATCTGCCATAACCTCAGGTGGGTGCAGTCAGCCCATCTGTGGCTTCAGGATGCCAAAGCTCCACTCCCTGTACAGCCAACAGAGAGATATCTCATGTTCAGGCCACCTGCTCCAGCTCTAGCAGGAGGTGTTTCACCTCCTTCTCTCACATCTGCTCACTAATCCCTGGAACAGATGTCAACAATGACCACTCAGAGTGCTGTGAGTGACTGAGCAGACAACAGATCTGTGACAAGTACACAATCACTGCAGAAGAACATACACAGCATCAAAAATAACTGGGAAGTATCCCATGCTTGTGCTTGAAAGGCTTTGAATCAGAAGGTCTGATGAGCACTTGTGAACTTTCTGTTCCCAGTGAGATAACACAGCTTTGCCTAGGTTGGTGGTGCTGTAGGCAAAAGACCATCCCAAAGTGCAGGAATGAGCCTGGGATGCTTTTGGCACTCTGCAGGTACAACCCAAAGGCAGAGGCAGTTTCCAAGAGGAATGACTGAACTGGTAGAGGTTCAAAACACAGCTAACCTCCAGGGAGGTGAAGCACTGAGGGCTGAGTGACTGCACACGAGGCAGCTGGCTGCTCCTGCTTGCAGACATCTGCCTTCGAGGGAAGCCTTCCTGTGGAGGAGGAAAGCTTATGGACACTGGGGCTGACAGGAACTGAATGGCATCTCTATCTTTTTACACACATGTATATATGTATGTATGTATGTATGTATGTATGTATGTATGTATGTATATAGTGGGTTTTTTTTATTTTCCCTCTGAATGGGGGCTACTTTGCTATTCAAAACTAACCTAAACCCAAGTAACCTAAAATATAAAAAGTAGTCTTGCAAATCTCTGCTTTTCCCTTTACCCTGTGATCGAAGTGCTTACATAGTAAACTCGGAGACAGGAGTGTAAACCACAAAGGCAGGAAGGGAGACAGTGTTCATCCTGATGTGCAGAATGCAGCTCCCAGAAGCTGGCAATACTCAGTTGCTGCAAGACAATATAACTAATCCAGACATGTTCAGCATGTAGAATTACAGAATCTTATCCTTTCCTCACAAGCAATAGGAATTAGATTCCTTTTTTCCCCCAAAGGAAAAAAAAATCACGCAAAACTCCAGGAGTTAGAATCCAGGACAGATATCAAATCTGCTTCAGACAGTTTCTCTCTTTTGGACTTGGGGAGAAAAGAAATCATTTCACAGTGCCAGAAATGCAGGATTTGTGTTGTTACATGCAAGCTTGGCAAAAGCAAAGCCAAAATCTGAGCACTTAACTTATTTTTCTCCACATTAATAATTTTCCCCTGAACTTCACTCCAACTGCCAATTCAAAGCTCATATCATGACTTAGTGTATGGGAATTCCAATAAAATTAGTGTGTCAGTTAAGAAGTAAACAATGTGAAATAAAAGAAAGTGAATGTTAAAAAAATAGTGTGAAAAAGAATAGACAGTTGAGTTAGATGGTCTAAATTTTTCTACTAAAAAAATTTAGTGAAATTTTTTCTAGTGAAAAAAATCACTAGTTTGATTGTACAATAACAGAAACTATCAGAAAAATATCTCAGAAATACCTTTTCTCACAAGTACACACACATGTCTGTGTGTACACTTCTCACCACTACATCCCTTACTGCTTTTTCTTCCTGCTTTCTCCCCTGTAAATTTTTAAGAGCTGATATTTGTCATTTTCACTTTATTCTCCCAGAATAAAGTTTCCAGGAATTTTCCTAATGTTCTTTTTGGCTTTTCAGGATTAAAACAAAACAAAACAAAAAATTAAGAACAAAACCCCAGGCTTTTCCCACATTTTTAAACATTTTATATTCCTGCATTCTGCCCCAGACAGAATGTACAGGACAGTTCAAACAAGTGGGTTGCTATCCTCTGTCTGTTTCTATGGAAATGAGTGTCAGAGCACTTAAAACAAAGCGCATACTTTACAGTAATCACTCTATGGTGATTATTTAAAATAACAGACTGCGTTTTTCTCAATCCAGCCTCTATTTCTATGGATACAACCTGAGGATGGTTGTAGGGAAGCTTGTTCACCATTTTTTTCTAATTCTAAATGTGTTTTGGATGCTGTAAGTTCTCACAAGGTGCTATGGATAATAATATGGTTAATAAGATCTAACAAGATCTTCAAGGGTACTGTAATTTGAATTTGAGGGCACCATTCGGTGAGCCAGAGTTAGGAAACACTCTCATGTGTGTAAAGAGAAATTTGAATGAATACTGAGTGAGCACTCCACACAGCACGTTTAGCAGAAGGGGAAATATTTGCTGGTTTTGCTATTTTTTGACTCGCTTCAGAGAGAGCAAGCTCAGCTAAACCAGTTCTGAGTTTTGTGCTCCTGAGCTGTCCTTGGCCAAACTGGCCATAACACCAGCGAGACCCTGAGTGCCTCACAGGACAGAGGATGTGGCCCATGAGGTTTGCACAGCCAGCCTCCTCACGTGTCATGGAATGAAACCTCTCTCCATTGCCTCACCAGGCACAGCAGCAAGGCCCCACTGTTGTAATCTTCGCTCTCTGGCTGCCATACACGTAAAGTCCCAGCTCTCAGGCTGTCACAGCTCTCGGCTGTCCGGGAGATTCCATACCTTCTCTCTCTCTCTCTGTTTGGCTGCAGCGTTGTTCTTCCCTCTCTGCTGAGGCTCTTCTTCTATCTTCTCAGGGGCTCCTCTTGGGCTCTTGACCCACCCCTATTTATCTGTTACCCTCACGAGCCACAGCTGTTGCCCAACTAAGGACCCTGCAGCTGCAGCTCGTTTGGAGTAACTTAGACACACACTGATCTCACAATACAACATATATTCAGGCCCCCACACCCCACTGCTCACCCTCCTGAGCGCTGCCAGGGTGCTGGCACTTCTCCTGTACACAGATTGCTTCTTCTAGCCGTGCACCTGGCACTTGTATAGACATGAAGCAAGAGGCACGTCCCATCTCACAGAGCTTACGCTGGAAACAAGAGAAAACATGACCTAAGGTGGAGGCAGAGCAACTGCACCAAGGAAAAGGTCCTGGGTTTGTTGTTCTTGCCCTCTTAAAGCACACAAGTTGTCCCTGGTCACTTCCTGACATGATGCTCCAAAGACACACTGGCAAAGATGTGTGTCCTGCCTCTCAGCTTAGGAAGGACATTAGGACAGACTTGCTGGGTGGACCATGCTCTTGGAAATCAAGCTCTTTGTGGAAGTGCTTTATTATGGTTTTATAAGCCTGCCTTTGATGGCTTGTTGTCACTGTTCCCCTTTAATAAATAAGTATTTAAGCTAAGATTTTCCAAAATTACTAATGATTATGTACTTGAAATTCAAGACTGAAGCTTTTTAAAGCCACAGAATCAATGTCAAAACACTGAAAAAAACTTTGGCTTTTCCAAGAGCCTTGAAAAAATCAGGCTTCAGGGTCTCTCAAGTTGGACATGTAAAGGCACGGAAAACTGGTAGTGTTTCAGAAAAGAGTAGCCCATATCAATATCTAACCAGTGAGAGCTGATAGGTTTAGATCCAGACCTCAGGCTAATTTGACCTGAGCACTGTGAAATTAAAGGCAAATAACAAAATTTGAAAATAATTATTGCAGTGTTTGTAAAGGCTCCTGGTAAATTCTGTGACTCAGTGACCATGCCAAACTAACTCAGAGTGGATGATGCTTGGGGATTATTCCACGTGCAGAAGCTGGGAAGGATTTCAGTACACAGAAGATACCCTGAGTACTGCAGTAGATGCTCAGAGGTGCTTCCAGCTCCTCCAGCTCTTCACAGCCTGATCATTGACCTCCCCACTCTTCTGTCCTCTCCCCTTCTTTTCTGATCTTTCCACCCATTTTCAGCACCTGGGCACTCAGCCCAGCTCCAGACTCACACCATGCTCTGACTCAAACCCTCACAATGCCCTGTCCATATCGACAGGCTCTGATATTCCTTGTGGGAGGAACACAAATTGCCATTAGTCAGGCCTAAAACGCACTCCTTGCACTGCAGCTGAAATAACTCTGGGATTGGAGGAGGAGGGAGAAGAGGAGGAGAGGTGGTTTTGTTTTGCAGCATCTGGAGTAAAAAAAGCTGTGGTTTTACTTCAGCCTTGCCAGCCTCTCATCTCTTGGGTCCACACACTGACCTTGCACATCCCCTGGACTCCTCCATGCCAAACTTGTGGAACTCAAGCTCTGCAATGACTGTGTCTGACTGTGTATGACCTGTCATACACGTGTATGGCCTAGCACTGGGCTGTCCAGGATCATGGGAGTGTGGGGCACAGGGCATTCGGACACGTGACAGCAAAGAAGGGATAGTGGTGGGAATATTCCCTCTGGGAGGCTGTGCTGAGGAAGGGGTCCTGATATCCCATCTCTTGGCAGCACCCACCCTTGCTTCTTCGGTGATCCCTCAGGGTGTCAAAGGCTGGAAAGCAGGAACATTTGACAAGGAGCTCTGTAACACACTTGAAATTTTGGGAAAAAACGAAGGAAACTTTTCTGTGGAGTAATTGTGTGAACTAAGAGCAAACATTGAGAACTACAGCTTTAGAGATGGGATTTTGGATTAAATCCATTCCCTCTGAATGCTTTCTGTGGTTGATTTATACATAAAATAAAAAAAAATATTTTAAGAAATGAATGCATTTATGAGTACTGTAGAGTAGGGGACCACAACTGACAGATGGCCTTGAATTGAAGCCACCACAGGGGTTACTTTAACTGGGGCTCCATCAGCCCAACACCAGTGGGGTTAAAGGACAGGTTTGGGCTGGGATTAGCACGGGCTGTATAGCTGGGCTCATGCACTGCTCTGTCTGCTGTCCCACTCAGAGACAGTCCCACATCTATAGGGAGAGGTTGTAGGCCTGGAGATCAGGCTGAGTTTGGGAAGGGTCACGAGGACATGGTTGGGGAGTGATGTAAATGCATCTCAGGAGACTCAGTCCTGAGGGGTAGCCAGTATTAGCTACAGAACAGCAAGTATCCATGGCTAAAGGCTGGAGAGAGAGGGGCTGGCTGAGAAGGACAGCAGTGTTCAAGGCTAGAATCAGAGGAGAAACCCTGGTGAAGCTCTGTGTTAGAAATGGCCAAATCATCTGCCACATCAGATTTTTGCCTTCAGGACTGCACAGGTGAGGATCCCACAGCGCAGGAAAGGGTTCAGGTGTGGGAGGCAAAGGCAAGCCAGCAGGAGTGCAGGGCTGGGGCTTGGCTGGTTACACACTGCCAGGGCAGTAAAGGCTTCAGAGGTCCTCACCGAGGCAGGAAAGGGTGCCTTGGCTCACTTAGTCTGCTATCCAGAGCTGTTCCTTGAACAAGGCGGAGGGCTGAGGTTCATGCAAGGGACCAGGAATTGTTTTTCAGGCTTGAAAATGCCAGAGGGGCAGTGTGTAACTTGGATATGATGATCTGTTCATCTGGCAAGAACCACAGAGGAGTATTTTGATTTACTGGGAGCTGGGCAGCTCAGAGGTTGCTGCTTGACTCATTCACTGCTCCCATCTGCTGCACACACAAACATAGCAGAGCAGATGCATTCTGTCTGGGCCTGAGGCCTCTGACTGGCCCTCCATAATTGCTGCTTGCCAAAAAACAGACTTAGGGAGGAAAGCTGGCAGATATAACAGAGAAAGGAAAGGACACGGGCTTCAAAGTGCACTCCAGCAGAACATGGAAGTGGCCTGGCTGGAAGTGTGAGCAGCAGTGTCCTTCCCCAGCCTCCTGGAGGCCTCTGACAGCCTCACAGGCAGCGAGGGGACAGAATAATTGAACTTCAAATAAAGTGAAATAAAAATAACTTTCAGTACCATTCTGTAGTACTTTTTAAAATACTAGAACTATGAAATATGGTGTGATGGTAACTATCAGGCCGGTAAGTCTGGTAACCTGGACTTTTACCTTGAAGATCTCAGAATCTCAGTATCAATATTATTTCTTTTAAAAGCTGTGTTAAATAAAAACTTTTTTCCTGGTTCTACTAGCTCTAGCCTTCCTTTCCATCCCCTCAATAACAAAGCAGCTCCCTCTTGAGAATGGTACTTACCTTCTACATTATGTGCCTATCAATTTCTGGAATTGCAAATGTATTTGTATACCTGCATAAATTTAAGTTTCAAGAAAACTGTAAGGCTGAAAGAAAGGATTCCCATCATCCAGAAGATGGGATGGGACCAAAAATGTTCTATGGAAGAACTGAGAAGCCTGTACCATTGCATAGAATTTGCTATAATGAGGTGAATTCCAAATGGCACTGCCTTTTAATCAAGCAGGAAAATAGTTGGGATGTAGAGAGTTGAATTTAAGTATTCCTAGAAACAGGAATTATTGGCAGAGCTTGGAGCATGATGTCACTAGCAGCATTAAGATGCTTTTAGCTTTGTTCTCATAAATTGCTTGAAAAAGCCCTTGTACCTAGTGTCTAGCAATTCATACTTTCCCACTTCCTTTTCCCCCCCCAGTCTTATGTACTCTCTTTATTTTACCCTTTTCTGTCTTCTAACTTCAGCTTCTTTTATTTTGTTGTCCTCTGCTCTCAAAGTATTGCAGCATCTTCTGTCAGTGTGAAAGCATTTGTTCATCCTAGGTCTCAGAATGGCTGTGAATGTTGCCCTCTTCTGGATCACTCTTTTTACAGTCATTTGCTAAAAAAAAAAAAAACAAAAAAAACCAGTTTGAAAAAGCCCAGGAATGTTACTTTTATTACTTGCACATATGAAAAAAATTCTGGTTTGGATTTGGATAGATCTTTATTTTAATTTTTTCTTACCGAGCTAATCTACTCTATCTTCCACTACTGTTACAACTGTTGTCATTCCGTATGAAACTGTTTATTGGCACAAGGCTTTTTCCATTCCTCCTTATCACCGTGCTTGCCTGGAATAACTCTTGCTGAAAGCAAGGGAATGGTTTAGATTTTAATTCATCTAAGCCTGCCCTCTGGCAGTGGGAAGGCATTCCCCTTTCTGTCACTCTTATAAATAGTCCCTCTCTGTCTCTCCCGTGGGTCCCTTCAGGTACTGGAAAGCCACAGCCTTTCCCTCTCCTGGAGAGAGAGGAGTATCTGAGGAATTTCTCTCCCCTCCCCGATTCCCTGCACTCCGTGCTTTCCCCTTCCACGCCGAACTTTAAGCCGTGTTGGTTCAGGATCGCAGGGTGCTGCAGTCTGAGGAAACTGGGATGACAAAAACCTGCTTGGCCTTGCAAGCAGCGATGGATGAGAGACTGCTGCAGACGGGACATTGGGAAGGAATTGTTCCCTGTGAGGGTGGGCAGGCCCAGGCACAGGATGCCCAGAGCAGCCGTGGCTGCCCCTGGTCCCTGAAGGGTCCAAGGCCAGGCTGGACAGGGCGTGAAGCAACCTGGCCTAGTGGCAACCTGTCCCTGCCCATGGAGGGAGTGGGAATGTTACGGTCCCTTGAAACCATACCATGATAATATTTTTAACTCTTTTTGCCCACCTCGGCACTGGTAGCTGGGGAAACCTTCCCGCTAGGGCGGTCCGGCTCCGCGACGGCCCCGAGCTAATCCCACCCCTTCCTGCGGGAGCAGCGGCGGTTCCGGGGCGGGCCCGGGCCGCGTTCGGATCGAGCATGGCCGGGAAGCGGAGCGGCGAGGCCGGGGAGCGGAGCGGAGAGCCTGCGGCCAAGCGCGCCTGTGGCCCGCGGGACGAGGAGTTCAATGGCGCCCGCTTCAAGGCGCTGCTGCGGGACCCGGCGGCCGCCGCCAAGGGTGAGGGGCTCTGCAAGGCGGGAGAGGCGCGATCTGAGGCGGCCAGTCCAGGCTGAGGGGGCTGCCCCGGGCTGAGGCGGCCAGTCTGGGCTGAGGGGGCCGGTTCGGGCTGAGGCGGCCGGTCTGGGCTGAGGGGGCTCACCCGGGCTGAGGGGGCTGGCCCGGGCTGAGGCGGCCGGTCTGGGCTGAGGGGGCTCACCCGGGCTGAGGGGCTGCCCCGGGCTGTGCGGGCGGCCCGGGGGACGTCGCGGGGATGTCACGGATGCTGCTGCTGCTGCTGGGGATGGATGCCGCGCACGGGCCCGGCCCGGCCCCTCTGTGTGGCCCAGAGCGGGTCCCACACGTGGCGCTGGTGGTCCGGGTGACGCTGTGGCTTTGCAGGGCTGGAGACCTTCGTGTCCATCGCCAAAACGCTGCCGTCGCCCCAAGTGTACGATGTCGTGGAGGGATACGTGAAAATTTCCATGGAGTGTGCTGAGATATTCAGGCTTCTCGATGGAGAAAGGAAGCCTGAAAGTGAAGTAAGTTGGATATGGGGGCTGGCGGCCACAATCCCAACAATCCCACCCTGGAGAAGAACCAACTAAAGGTTGCCAGGGAATGGTCACAGCTGCCAAGGCTGCCAGAACTCCAGGAGCGTTTGGACAAGGCTCTCGGGCACAGGGTGGGATCGTTCAGGTGTTTGTGCAGGGCCAGGAGTTGGACTGGATGATCCCTGTAGGTCCCTTCCAGCTCAGGATGTTCTATGGTTTTATGGATAAATAGTGCTTTGTGGTGCAAATAACTCTGTAAATTTTTGATTTGAATTTTGTTTTTTTTTCTGGAAGTAGCAGTGGCAGGAGCACCTACCAAGTGGGAGATGCTCCGTTCTGTTCATAGATGTTCCTGGATTTAATGGCACACACAACCAATAGTCCTGTCCAAATCAAGCTATTATTAAAAGGCCTTTTAGGAAATAAGGGGATCAACAGAAGCAGTTAAGAAAGCAAAAGAGAAGTAGCCTAGTGAAAGTAAGTGTTTTTAGATATCTGCCTGATACATCAGCATTTCTAGGAAGCCACTGGTAAAGGTGATTTCATTTTCCTTATTTCAACTGGACACAATTTTATCCTCCTCAGAATATGATGAATGGACAAAGAGTTCAGTAACTTTTCACTGTGAATGCTGGTGCAGCGTTGCTTACAATGTAGTGTTACTTACAATGTAGTATTGTATTGTGTGGCTTTTTAACCATCACTTGCTGTTCTTTGCCTTTGAGTATCATTTCTGTCTCTGTAATGTTCAGTGACAGCTTTCCCTCAATATCCCGTTGCTAGGAGAGGCTGATGTTTGTGATGAGCACAGTCCCAGTGCTGAGTGGATTCTGAATTCTTCTGGCAGGAATTAATTGCAAGATTGGAACATGATATTTTTCTCCAGGACATTTCATTTTTCGTCATCCACTTAGGAGTAGTTGTCTCTTGAAGTGTTGATTCCTTGAAACTTCATGCTCTCAGAAGTGATCTTTACAAAGAGGAAGCATTAATTTGGGAGAGAATTTAGAAGTTAATGTCACTTTCATATGTAGAAGCTTTCCTCTTGGAGTGGGGTTACTCTTTTTATTAATGCTGATTATTACTGTTTGCTCAGCTAATAATTTCAAGCCTTACCTGATATTGTCAGATATTAACATACTTTTTTATCCTGCAGATGCTGTTAATCTTTCAGGCTCTAGAAGCCATTTTATTGAGGACAGCCAGCGACCTCTCACATTTTTCTGTTGTGGGAATGAACATTGTCAAAAAGTTGATTCATTCCTATATGAAACTGGTCTATGCTGCTTTGTATTCTGAGAATCACAGGTAAGTCTGCTTGGTGCTCTGGTGGAGAATCTCTGTCAAGTGATCTGGACAGAGATTCTAGATGTTGGAAAATTCATCTTGACTTATTGCTAATAATCCCCCTTTATTTAATAATCCTTTTCCACTTGTCATGAAATAATTGCCTGTGGAAGGCTTTGCAAAGTGGAAACTGATACATCAAACAATCCAGTGCTGTAGGATACTTTCCTGAAGCTGTACTTTTCATCAGCTGGGGCTGTCCTGGTGAGAGCTAACATGGGTTTTACCTTGAGTCCTGTTATTTTAGTGCTGCTTGACTTGTAGGGTGAAATGCATGGTGTGGAACAGGGCTGGGCATTCTTCCTTTTGATGGCAAAAAGAGCTGCTCTCGAGTGCTTTATTTCCCTGTATTTTTTGGAGTCAGCTTTCCATGTTTATCATGGATTTTTCTCTTTCAGACTGGCTTTTCTTCTGCAATTTTTTCAGTCTCTTAAGTCTGAGGTCATTTTGGGTTGTTCAATAATTTTGTCACTTTGTCCCTTTTAAACTACTTCATAAAGGGAATATCCAGCCTCACATTACAGCCTAATTTTGGGGAAGAACATAAAAAGGCATTTCCTTCTCCTTTCTCCCCTCTCCCTTCTTTCCCAGCTGCTGTTATTACTGCCTAAAACAATTACTTAGATTGTTTACCTTCCCTTCTATTTTCTCTTTTAGTTTTAATCTCCTGGTTTGGCAGTTTGTATACCATCACCCTGGGAATGGCCTGCAGGTTTTCCTCTGTTTTGTTCTGTTTTGTTTTTAGGGTGAGCCGGGGCTGCCTTACCCTGCTGTCGGCCATGGTGGCTCAGGGCCCGGACTCGGCCAGGGATGTCTACAGCCATTTTGACTTCAACAACAAGTACCTGCCTGGATTGCTGAAAAGAAGGTGTAAGCAGGTAAATTGAGGTGCTGCATGCCACGGCATGCTGTGCCAGGGCTCCACCAGCTTTTTTAGCTACCTGTTCAGAACAAAGCTGTTGCCAAGGTTTGCTGTGTTTTCATCTGCAAGAGCTTAACTCTCCCTTCCTGTCCTGTGTCAGGCTGAAGTCCTTGATTGTGCCCAACTGGACACATGAAAATGCCTCATGTGTTTCCAACCAACTGTGGAGAAATAGAAATGTACAGTTTCTGTGAACTGCCCTTGTAATGTCTGAAGCAGAGTGAAAGTGGTAGTAAACTCCTGAAAACTAGTCTTTTGTTTTGTGATTTGGTCCCACTGAAATAAATGGGAATTGGGGAGAGGATATTGAGAGTAATTATACAGACTAATTGCATTTGAAAACATAAACAAAAGTTCTAGATAATCTTATCTGGAAATCCTTAAGAAGAATATGTGGATGAAGAGGAAAAGCCACTCCTCTTTTTCCAGAAGAAACTATCTCTTGTTCCCTCCCTGTTTGCTAAAAATAGTCAGGATTGACCCAAACCAGTGCTTTAGAACAAGAATAATTGTGTCATTCCAAATGCAAGTGTATAATTAATCCAGTGTTGTTTGCAATGTTGACATACTGTTTCCAGACTTTAAAGATTACTTGCAGGGTGAATGTGTATGTTTGTGTTGGGTTTGTGCCATCTGAAATGAAAATTCAGACTTTTTCTTTATTAAACAATCAAGTGGAAGGCAAAATACCAAGCACATCCCTTTTCCCCAGGAACCACCTTTTATAGCTCCAGAATTGTCAGATTCCATGGATTTTGACCTCGCTGCAGGAGCTGTCTGCAGGAGTAGCTCCACCCTTGATTTTAAATGCTTGGGTGCAGTCTTTTGGCCACAAGCTGCTTAAGTAAGGTACAAGGAGTCTAGCATCCAAAAAGTCTTAGTCCTGTACAGCTTTCAGTGAAGTTATGTCACAGCTGGCTGTCAGAGGTGAGTTTTTAACCCAGAAATACCAGGCCCAAAGCTTACAGCAAAATCTTGTTAATTTCTCTATTTCTTCTTTCAACCCTTTGATGAGTCCCTGCTGCCTTTTCTTTTGCTTGCTTAGAGTCTTCTTTCAGGCTCATTTACATGCAGCTTTATTTTGCACAGCAGGTTTAAAAACAATGGTAAATCATGACAGGACTCTCAGGGGATGCAGTGGTGGGAGGGGTGGCTCTTTGGAAGAGGGTGTATTTATTGACAGTGGATTTTGGGAGAGGATTGTGGCTGTGAGGGTGATGGGGCGCTGTCCTGCACAGGCTGCCCAGAGGAGGAGCTGCCCCGTCCCTGGAAGTGTCCAAGGCCAGGCTGGACAGGGCTGGGAGCAGTGGGAGATGGCTCTGCCCATGGCAGGGCGTGGAATGAGGGGATCCTGAAGGTCCCTTCCAACTGAAACCATTTTGTGCTTCAGTGTTCATGTCCTGTGGTGCTGTTAGAGGTCGAGCTTTCACTGCTCCCCCTGTGCCTGAGCTGGCAGTTTTATATTCACCCTTTTCATGGGCATTTCTGTGCACTGGCCCAGCAGTGCACAGGTGAGGAGGTGCAGTGATGCAGGGTTTGGCATGAAACGGCTGTTAGTGTTTCCTCTTTATTTAAATTTCTGGCCTGGTCTCATACATTGAGAATTGACAAGCACATAACCAGTACATTTTCCTTTTTATGTAAAAGTGATCTGTTTAATGCAGGAAGTTTTTTAGCTGAATGCGCTGTGGATGTATTGCATGTAAATGTGTGTCTATGGCTGCATGCAGCATTTTTATGGAAATTGATTCATTCACCCATTTATGGAGCTTCTAGGGATAATCAGCAGCTGCAGTATCAGTTCTGCAGTTGGGTACAATCTGTGTGCTAACAACATTTTTAAATTTTCTATATCCATTTGTGTGTTTCCAGGGCAGACCAGATGTCCGCATGGCCTTCATTCAGTTTGCTCTCTCCTTTCTCATTGCTGGTGACAATGCAATCTTGGCACAGGTGCTGGAACTAAAAGGTACTTCATAACTTTTTTGTTTTAAGGCACAGTCATTTAGAGGTGATAATATATATGACCTAATTAAAAATGTGAACCAGGTAGAGAGCACTAATAAGAAGCAAAATATATATTTTTAACCTTATTATCTGAAAAGCTTTAAACTTCTTTGGCAGTGCAATAAATAAACCTCTCCTGCTTGAGAACAATATGCTATCTGCTAAAACTTTGCAAAAATAAAGTCTTTGGTGACACAGATAAAAAATTTTTAAATCTAACAGAAAACTTTGAGGTCATAGAGTCAATAAACAAAAAAGATTGATGGCTTCCAGCCTTGCTCATAGGACAGTAACAGTGGATATGTTGCATTCATTTTCTTTTGAAAAGGGTGTACTTCAGTTTCCTTTCTGCCCTGTGAATTGTGACCTTTGGAAGAGTTATGAGACAATCAGAAGGGATCTAGAATTATTGTTTAAAAAAAATGCTTAATGCTAGCTGGCAGCAAGTAATGGCAGGGGACTGGGAACTGGCTGTACTTGTTGCCTTCTCTTGCTCCTGCCACCCCAGGGCTGCTGATTTCCCTGAGGTGCTGGCAGCTGTTCAGTTCTGTCAGGCTGGGGATTGCACACCTCGGCCCAGTCAGGGCAGATGGCTTTCATTGCCCTGTAGGAGCCCCAGGTTCTCTGTAAACTGAGGTTGTCTCACTTTGGGATGCACTGTGAGCCAAAAGGTGATGGATGTAGCTGGAGATGGAACCTCCCAACATTTGAGAATCCTTCTCAAATTCGCTCAGTGAAACAATCGCCAGTGCTTCAAGGGGAGGAATATGACATTACTTGAATTTTAGTGTGGCGTTTCAGGGCCCAAAATGTATTTAAAGCTGACAGATGCTGGAGCAGTGTTAATCAGTCAAGATGAGAGTAGGCTGGGCAGCATCACTTGCTCATAACCATGGTCATAGACACATCATCCTTCTGAACTCTGATTGCTGCCTTTGGCTCATCCTGGAATGTAACAGCAGAATAAATGATGTGACATGGAAGAGAAATGGGGATGAATTCCCTCAAGTATTTTAGTATGAAAAGAGCTTTCACATTTTGAGTTAACGTTTGAAATGTCCTCTTAGATTTCATTCCAGCTATTCTTCGCTCTGAAATAAAGGAAGACAGAGTTTCTACTGTCAATCTTCTGCTCTCCACACTGACAGCTAAGGTATGGTACACCCTTGGAACTGTGTTGTCTCGTGTGTTCTATTTTCCTCACTGCTGAGCACAGTTCTGCAGGGATTTCTCCCACAGTGTTCGGTTCTTAGGGCTGCTGGCAGAGTGCTGCTGCAGTGTGGGACTGGTGATGTGTGTTGGAGGTTGAGAGCTTGGCTGTATTACTGTGTCAGGGTTGGAAACAGGGAAGCAGGGATTGCTGAAAGGTGTGAGAGTTGGCTTAGTGGTGGCTTTTCCTGTGCTCTGTCACCTTCTGAGCATGGCCCTGCCTCTTTCGTGGGTGCTCTTGTTGCTTGTAGAGCAGCTGCACCTGAGATATATTTTATTTATTTGAAAATGTTTTCAGCTCCAGAATCTATGACTTTTAAATCTCTCTTCTGAACTGCTGTAGCAATGTTGCATAAGCTGTTGCATGAACAGTTGAGAGAATGAAGGAAAACAGAGTTTCAAATTTAGAGTGTAGCCATAGGAGCCTGCCTCAGACTTGGGCTTTTCTCAACTGACCAGTTAAAGCCAAAAATGTTCTTTCATTTTGTCTTTGCAATGACACAAAAAAGAAGGATAATAAAAAGCTGTCATTTAAATGTAAAATAAACCTCCTTGGAACTTTGTTTTTCAAATGAAGCTTTTCCTGTGTGGCAATCATACATCATGAGCTGTTGTGTTATTGCTGGACCCCAGCACACTGTATGAGTCTCTCAGCTTAGCAAGAAAAATGAGAATTAAAGCAATGCCAGCAGTAAAGCACAGCAGAAGAACTTGTGAGAAACTTCCTTCCCTTTCATTCAGACTTCATCTGTAGTAGGCTTCAATATGTCTACAGCTGGGTTCCCCTGGTTCTGCTCTGTGCCTGTGATGCTCCAAACATGACCTGCACTCTTTAACATGAACGTCTGTCTGTCCAGCACGTGCAGGGTGTGCAGAGGTTGGTGCAGGGTCAGGGTGCAGCAGGAGCAGTGAGAGAAGGGTTGACAGGACAGGACAGGCAGAGCCTTTCTGCTGCTGGGTGAGGAGAGCCAGCTCTGTGTGTACTGGAAGAATGAGGCGTGATGCTGTTTTGCCATGGTTTTGTGACAACCTGCAATAAATGCAGTTTGCATTTTTCTCATTTTCAGGTGGTTCATAACAAAAACATCAGCAAGACACAGAAGGTTCGTTTTTTCACTGCAGAAGTGTTGCTGCACATCTCCTCACTGTACCGCTGGAATGGCATTACTGATGTCAGCCCTGAGGATTTAAAGGTCTGGCCATTTATTTCTTGTTACTCTTAGTCCTTGTGCTGCCTTTATTTCCCTTCCTCTTGCAGCCCCCAGCTTTTCAAACAGCTCCCAGTTGCTCTGAGCCTGATGAGCTCAAAGAGAGGAATCTACTGAGCCTATTTAAAAAGAACCCCCAAATTTGTGCTGCTTCTCACTGGGTTTTGGCTACAGATTTTTCACCTTTGTGTGTGCCCTCTCGTATTCCTCTGCCACATGCTTGTGACCCTGCCGCTCCCATGCTGATGTACTACAAACACCCTTTGGAGATGTGTGTCTAGGAGGGATCTGCTGGGAGCTGTGCAAACCCCTGACCCCTTTCATAAGCATACATTTCAGTTCTGAGTCCTTGTAAGTTCTTGCACTTCCTGGCAGTCCCTGTAAGTCATATGATGCATGATTTCCCAGCCACAGTTGTCAAGAGTCTTCTCATCTCTAGGCATCTCGAGTTGTTCTGGATTTAAAAAGTTTATGGAATTGTAGAATCACAGAATGGTTTGGGTTGGAGGGGATATTCAAGTCCTGAAGCTTCTCTTTTTGATCTGAACCAAAGCCAAACTTTGTTTTAGTATTTCTCTGAGAGGAGCCATATGGAGTGAGGCTGATAACTGTGATGCCAAATCTCACATGCCTTTTTTACTCCTTTTTGGTTCTTACAGGTGGCTCAAGGTTCTGAGGAGGTGGGCAAAGCAATGGTGAGAGAACTTGTGCATAGTTTCTTGATGGACCTGTGCTGCTCTCTGAAACATGGCATAACCTTCTATGATCCAAGTCTGGGAACTTCTGGCAAGTGAGTCACTGGGCAGCTGGGATTGTATGTGGATTCTTTGCTAGAAGCAAAGAGACCTCGCCATTTATCATGTCTGCCCTGAAATGTGTGGTGTTAATTCACGTTTGTCATGCAGAAAATGTGCAGATGAATTAATTTCTTACTTCTTTGAGTGTAAACTCACAAATTATGCCAGGAGGATGAGAGATCTTGCCTTCAAATAATCGTTTTGCCTTCAGTTAATAGTTAGAGAAGCTGTAGAGTTCACATCCCATATAAAGTATCAAAATAAGGATTTCTTATTCAAAGTAATTTTTTTGTCTTCACCAGGGGAGGAAATGTGGTACTTCTGCACTTCCTGCTTGGTTTGAAAACTGCAACAGAAGATGAAATGGTTGCTGATCTCGTGGTGAATATTCTCAAAGTGTGCCCAGATTTACTGAACAGATACTTCAAGGAGAGCCAGTATTCCTTTGTTCCTAGAGTGAAGTCTGCTTGGATGGACAACATGAAGTTGCTCAAGAAGGTGAGAGTGTGGGTGGTGGTAAAAAGCCATGCTCAGAGCAGGGAGCTTTGTAAACATGTAAACTAAACTGGTAAAAAAGGAATTGGTGTAAGAAACAGTGGAAAACATCACATCAGGGACATATTTTTTGAGATGCAGCAACATCAAAGCTCAACTAGAAAAACCTTTTGTCCTTTGTGAGTGTTCTGCTGCCTCTTTTTTAGCCTAAAATGGGCAAGTAGATTCTGGAATCTCTTGAAAAGGGATAGCCTTTGCCAGGGATGCTGTTTGCGTACAGGGGGTCCATTTAGTTGAGTCTGGAGCATGCTCTGTAGCATTTTTGCATAAAAATTGTCATTTAATGTTGCCCTTACTTCTGACAAGTCAAAATCCTTCTGTAAAATGCTCCCCAGAAGAAGCTGTCATCTCCAGAACTGTATCAATGGGGCATAAATTTTTGTTTCTTTTCTTTCAGATCTACGAGGCTCAACCAGAGATCTCCAATGCTTTTAAGAGTTCAGAATTTATTCCTCTTCCCAGATTGCTTTCTATGGTGATGGTGACAACAGTCCCTGCAGTGTGCAACAGAACAATGTTCACCCAAGGGTTAAATGTAAGAGCAGTCTGTAGCAGTTCAGTGACTTTTCTGTCCTAGTTTGTGCTGATTCATTTCAGTGTGGGATCATTCAAGGAATTTCTGAAGTTGGTTAATTACCTGTGGTTTATGTTGTCTGCCTCAGCATTGATCTGGCTTGGTGAAGCGCTGGAAAATGGATTAGAATCACTGATATTGATTGCAGGTGCCTTTCACAAGCACTGGTTCTGTCACTGTCCACTAGTGTTTTGGGCAGGGAATCTGAAAGCCCATGGATTCCTTACTGCTAGCTAAGATCCAGAAAATAAGGGATTCAGTGACCAATTTGAATGCACATTCAGAGTATGGATTCTGTGCCTAGCATAACAGGAATCACCAAAATATCATTAATGCACTTCCCTCTTTTAGCTGCCCAGCACAGAGGTGAAGCAGAGCATCCTGTCTCTGGTGTCCATGGTGCTGAGAAGAGCCCTGAGGAACATTCAGCACTGCTTGTCTGAGGAAACCTGGCAGAGGTCACAGATCTACACTCTGCCTGCACTGCAGGAGTTTGTGCAGCTCTACAGAGAAGCTGTCAGCAAGGTAGGAATGAAGAGACCATTGCAGCAGACACTGCTCTCCCTGTGCTTTGTCCTGCAGCAGTGCAGCTGAGGAGCCAGGGGATGGAGGCTGTGGGTTACATGGTGTGAGGGAGGAGCCTGCACTCCTGCCATGTCTGTCTGATGGGAACGCAGATACAATCCTGTGGGGAGACAGAGCTGCCTCATTCATGGCTGTGGGGCTGCACATGATTTCCAGGAGCAGGAAGCATTTATCTTCCTGGTTAAGTCAATGCAGCCAGCAGAGGTTACTCACAAGTTACTGGACAAGAGGGTACTTGAGCGGAAAATACGCCATGAGGAAGAAGAACCAAAGAAATTTTTCACAGGAAGCCTTTTCAATAAAATGTTCTCTCTAGTACTTAGGTTAGGCTGAAGTGGAAGTGCAGTGCTTGATTTCAGGTCATTCTCTGATTGCACACAAGGTCAGTTCCAACCTTTGTGAAGAGCTGCAGATCTTCCTGTTGGATGTTTGGGGATGTATTTATCACAGGAACTTTGTCTTACAAAAGAGAGCTGTTGCAATTTCCCCTGTTTGCTTTTAGGTTTTGCCAGACATGACCAGCATAGTGGCTGTCTGGCAGTCCCTCCTGAAGCAAGAGAGAGAACACAGCAATGGCCCAGCAGAGAAGAAGGAAGGTGATGTCCCCACTGTGAAGGCAATGCCTGAGACAGAAGCTGCTGAGCAGCATGGTAGGCAAAGCAGGTGGAGTTACAGCTTCTTATCTCTGTGGGAATGAGTGATGTGAAACCCTCATCCCACCCTTAACTTCAGCAGGATCCAGATCTCACTTGTATTTACTGCTCACCTTTTCTCAGTTCAGTTCTTCAGGCTGTTAGGACTGCCTGAGAGCACAGCTCAGCATAGAGGCTGCCCCTGCTGCTAGAGGGTGAAGCAGTTTGACTTGGCTGTGCCAGGATCACAGAGTGGTTGGGGTTGGAAGGGATCTCTGTAAATCATCTTGGCTGATTCCCCTGCCTAAACCTGGGTACCAAAGTCCCCATTCACACAGCTCCTGAACATCTCCAAGGATGGGGACTCCAGAACCCCTTTGGGCAGCCCGATGGGTGCTCAAGTCACAAACTGTTTCCTGATGCTCAGGGTGTTCCTGTGGTTCCCTTTGTGCCAGTGCCACTGCTCCTGCCCCGGGTGCTCCTGGCAGGAGCTTGGCACCGTCATCTTTGCACTCTCAGGTGCTCATACACATTGATGAGATGCCCCTGAGCCTTCTCTTCAGTGTGAACAGTCCCAGCTGCCCCAGCCATTCCTCACAGGAGAGGTGTTCCAGTCCCTTCACCATTTTTGTGAGCCTCTGCTGGCCTCTCCCCAGTGTCTCCATTTTCTGGGGAGTCCAGACCTGAACACAGCACTCCTGGTTTGGGCTCCCCAGTGCTGAGAGGAGGGGAAGGAGCAGCTCCCTGATGCCAGGACACCAGATCCTTCCCTGGCAAGCTGCTGAGTGCTTGGGTGGCCCCAGAATGTACTGGTGTACCTGTTCCTCCTCAGGTGCAGGGCTCTGCTGTTCCTCTTGTTGAACTCAGCCCTCCTGCCCTTGGCCTTTCCATGCTAGGAGCTGTTTCACAGCCACAAAATGAAACTGGCAAGGAGATGATAGGCCTGAAAAATAATTTTTGGAGAGGTTTTTTGTTTGTCCAAGTTATTTCACCAGGAGGTCTTTTTTTTTTAGCAGTTGGTTACTGTGGCTACACAAATGTTTGTATAGTGGTAACACAGGAGTGGACAGGACAGGTGGTATTCTTACAGTGAGCATTCAGATGCTCAGGGTGTGTTTTATATGTGTGAGCACTTCCGAGTCAAATGAGAAATGGCAGCTCTCAATCTAAGCACTGAATGAGCAGATTTAGTTTTGGAAGTATTCATACAGGAATGCTGGAGAATGGAACTGGAATAAGCAGATTTAGTTTTGGAAGTATTCATACAGGAATGCTGGGGAAATGGAACTGGAGATTCCACGAGTGTTTTTCTTATTCTTCTTGTGGGGAAGATAGCAGGTAATTTCCTAGGCAAACCTGCTGGAAATACAGTTATTAATTCTGCTGCTGGCTAATGGAGGTGTGCCACTATGCACTCTTGCTGTGAAAGAAGAATGAACTAATGATGGGAACATTTTGTTTAGGTTCAGATGATGCTGAGACGCTGCTTCTGAAAGCTGCCCTGCTTCAGGTCATATGTCTGTACCAGAAGGTTGTGCCCCACATGGTAGCACAGAGCAACTTTGATTTCAGCAAGCTGATAAAAGGTATGTCATGGGTATTTGTGTTTTTGTTTTCTCTGGCTGTTTACACAGCAGAAGGGAACATTTGCTTTTCTGCCTCTGAGGCTGGATTCTCACCTTGGGCCGGCCAGCCTTAGCTGCAGTTTGTCTGGGATCCCATGACGTGAAGATCTTTGAACTGCCAGCTTGTCTCACCGTTGTGTTTCCAACCCTGACACATAAATGTTCTGAGGTTTCAGGACGATGGACCAGACTGAAGCTGGTTTCTTGTTTCACCCCCCCAGGTATAGTCACTGAAAAGGGTCTGCGGGAGGAGGTGCCTCCTCTCCTGCAGAACCACATCCTGAAGGTGGCTTTGGAGCTTCCTGCCAATAAATTTGCCTGGTTCAAAGTACAGGTGAGAGCCCAATGCAAATTTATGTTTCCTTGGTCTGTTGTCCCCAAATCTTCCCATCTGGCATTGCCTAGTTTTGCATTAGTCCAGTCCTTTTAGGAGGTGATCCTTGTGTAAAGCCAGCAGGAATGACATTCTCAGCAGTGGTGAAGATCCCTGCTGATCTCAAAGGTTTTTTACAGGGACAGCATTTTTGTTGTCACCTCCCTGGTGAGCGCAGGCGAAGGTTCCAGGAGCTCCGTGTGTCTCTGGAGAGGAGCACAAGTGACAATGGGCTGGACTGCCCTTGTCTGGAAAGCCTCAGGCTGCAGACCAGGGAAATGAGCACTGATGGCAGCCATCCCACCCCTTCCCAAGGAAATTCCAACATGTTTAATGCTCCCCATAATTAGAGGAAATCATCAGGGCCCCAGCTCTCTTTTTCACTGCAGGCTTCTAAAATAAGAGCTCTGTCAAGAGTTTGCTTGTCATGTCAGGAGAAAGGAGTGGGCCTGACTTTGGGGAGAAGCAGAGACACCGTGTTGTCACAGGGATTGACATGGAATGACTGGGGAGTAAAATATGGTTGGGGAATAAATATGATTGATGGGGAGGTGGCATTGCCTTGGCTCCTTGCAGTAGTTGGGGTTTCTGTTATTACTGACTGCTTCCACTTTCCAGGAAAGCATTTTACAAGTAAGTGCAAGGATCCTGGCTCATTAAATGCAAAGTAGTGTAAGTGATCCCAATTATTTCTGGCCTTGGCACCTTTGGGCAGGTCTATAAAATAACATACTTACCTTACACATCAGTGTCAGTGTAACATAGCCCTGTACAGTGCTGCTGTAGCAGAGGAATTTTAATATATTTTTCTTGCAGGACATCTCTGAGACAGAGAAGATATCTGGTGAAAAATCAGTCTTCTATTTACTGATGAAAATGTTTGTTTCAAGTTCCCATTCTCATCTGAAAATTTCCACCAAACAGTTGATCATCAAGGTAAGCATTTGAATTGAAATATCAGGATATTCACCATATCCCATTGGTCTGAAATTTCAGGATTGTAGTTTTTTCTTAAAGCAGACGCCTTTACTGCATGGTTGTGTGGTCAGCAGAGTCTCCTTTCCTGTTTGTTGTGACTGTTGTTGGAATTTGCTGTCAGATAACTGGCTATTAACAAAATATTTTCTGGAAATAAATGCTGTGAACTGCCTTCCCTGCAGCAGTTGATGGAAGAGTAAGGAAAATGTCTTTAATGTTTGCCCACCCCCCCTAGGCTGAATTAAGTCTGGCACTGTAATAAATTAATTAGTTTGTGCCTGCAAAGGTCTTGACATTGATCTAGAGGAGATTACTTTTGAGTTTTATTTTTTATCATTATTTATTTATTCTGTACTTTATCATTGTTTATCTAGTCTGTACTCCAGCACTCCAGCCTTGCATAAGCCTTGGATGGTTTGCTCTGGCCCTGCAGAATAATCCTCTCTGCTACTGTCTGATACAAGCTTTGATGCCAGGAGTACTTTTTGTCCTAAAAATTAATTAAAATCCCCTTCTGTACATTTAAATTAGCTATTTCACTTTTCAGGAAAACTGGTCAACTACAAGTCCACAAGACAGCAGAGTCTGTTGTTTTTAGCACCTTATTAAAGAGGACATCTTTAGTGATCCGAGATGGGGTAGAGATTAACATTGGGAATAAATACACCCAAACTATCCTGCCCAGAGGAAACCCAGGAGGCTGTGCTGGCCCTGGACAGGGCTCTTCATGCAGTGCCCTGCAGTGTTCGTGGCTCATGAATCTGTACCCAGCTTTGTGCATTGAATCTCTGCACTGAGCTCCAATCAGAGAGGCCATTTTAATATTCAGCCCACCAGACCAAAGTTCCAGTGATTGAACTGGGGTTTAGTTGCCCTTGGCCCTTGCAAGGGTTTAAAGGCAGGTTCTCTTGGTCTCCCAGTAATGAATGTCTGAACCAAAACCTGCTCAAAATGTGCTGTTTTTCTGGTGGTTTTGGATTTCTTTGGCCGGGTGGGAACATGGACTGCCTCACTTGTCCTTGTGTCCGCTTTTCGCTGCAGTCCATTGCACTTTCTCTGGGGGGAATGCAGGAGCACGGGAGTCAGGGCAGTTATGGCAGCAGAAAGGCTGCTAAGAATAGATGGTAAGGACTGATTTTTCTGTGCAGGGCCATGTAACTGAAGGCTTGTTTTGGGATTTCACATTCTGTTCCTGCCTGGTTCTGTGAGAGCTGCAAGTGCGTTTCTATTTCCAGACTGCCAAAAATAGTCAATTATATTAAAATGAATCCTTTTCCCTTCATTTTTCTTTATTTAAATGAATTACCCTGTCAGACTGATGTAAGCAGCAGTTATTTTTAGAGTTGCTGGTGTTGTGCACAGAGTAAACGTGGAACAAATGAGTTGTGATGGCTTCCTTTTATTCTGTGTGTGGAGAGGAGCAAAGGCACAGATTGATCCTGTGTAGTGTGGGTGCCAGAGTCAGGAGCTGGGCAAGGTTTCCTCTCTTGTTGACAGGGAGTTTGGCCATGGTGTCACTTCAGTTCCTTCCTCTCCTCCCTCCTCCTGGCTTGCTTGCAGAGCTGCAGCACAGGGTCACCAGGTTTGGGTGCCTGAGGTCAGGGCCTGAAATTAGAGAGCAGCAAAGTGGGGGAAATTTCTAGATGTGTCAAAGCCTGTCTCCTTGTTGTGGTGTATCTGGGTCTACCTCACCACTCCCACAACCTCCACTTCTGTCTGGACCTTGCTGTGGTCACAGCCCACTGCTCATTTACGTGGCTATTTGTCCTTCTGCCTAATTGTTTCATGTACAAATAGCCTGATTTAGGTTTAATATAGCAACTATTTTTCTTTATGTTAGATCAGTAAATCTCTCCTACTGGGTATTTTTAAGGTGCTTTTTTTTTTCTGCCTGTGATGATATAAAGATGTACAACCCTCTGAAAGCAGTATTAACCTGCTTTCCAAAAATTACAGAACTATGATTTTTATTGTGCACTATGCAGTGAAAGTCCCCCTAGTGAGTGGGAATAAGGCCTCTTGAGCTGAGGGGGTGAGGAGAGTGACAGATACTTCTTTCCATTAACCTGCTCTTCTCCTTTTCTTTCCCAAAAGAGGGAATCATGAAGTTACTCTGCAAAAAGATCTGTATCTCTTGGGGTTTTGTGTTTTAGGTGTTTTGAGGTTTATTTACACACCTCCCCTTTGTTTCCTGGACAGGTTTTACGTGACAGTGGAGTGTTTGAGTACACGTGGAAGGAACTTTCAGTCTGGCTGGAACACTTGGATAATACAAAAGAAGACCAGAAGGAAGCAGTGATTCAGTTTTTGGAAAGGGTAACAGTGTTCAAATTAGCCGGATAAACAATGCAGAGAACAGTGCTAGTGGAAACTAGAGATTTTATTGCTATTGTTGAGAAACCTGTCAAAGAGCAGCGAGTGAATTCTGAGAAAAGCGTTGTCTGGGATTCTTTAGACAGAGGTGGCTTCATTCTTGTCTTCAGTGGGAAGGACAGTGAAATGATTTGTGGGAAAATTAAATCCAAAAAGATCAGTTGTTCCAACAGCGTTGTTGGTGTGAGGGTAGGGTGTTGTATGTGTGGATAGCTTTTATCTCCTCCTCAGGTGCCAAAATGATCAGAGCTCAGTAAATTGTGATCTTGTACAAGGAAAGCTGACACTTCCCGTTTACTCTGCAGGATGTTGGATGCCCAGTGCTTCATTTCCAGGGCAGTCTCCCCAGGGACTCAGTCTGTGGTAGCAATCTGGATGCCAAATTGCAGTGGACTTTCACTTTTTCCATCAATGTGCCCTGTAGAGCAGGAACCATAGACAGAATCCTGCAGAAGTAATATGGAAGTGGCCCTCCTAAACCCTGCCCAGCTTCCAACCCCTTTTAGCACACGTTCTTTCTTAGCCACACGTGGTTCCCCTGCACGTGACAGCCAGTGCACTCACTTACATTTCTCCCCCCTTTGCTGGCAGATCCTGCTGAAGCTGGTGACAAAGCCCTATCCCTACACAGACAAGGCAGCAGACGTGGTTCAGGAGGCCAGCATGCTGCAGGCCTCCCTGTTTAAACAGGACTCTGACAACATCAGCATCCCTGTCTCTCACATTGATGGTATGTGGGAACCCCTCAACAGCAGAATTCCACCACTTGAGGCTGCATTTTCTAGCCCTCATCAGCAAACTGGGGATGGATAACCTAGAAATCCTGTGACAGAATCCTCCAGGATTCAGCCCTCCATGGGTACCTGGTACCAGAAGTCAGAATTGCAAAGTTACCACTTTAGCCCCAAATGTAATTTCTGATATGGTTGTGCCACTTTAGCAGTATTTGAAATCTCTCTTCATGGTCTTGCAGCAGCATTTTCAAACTAAAATGGAAATTTTAGTTTTGCCTGGGGCTGTTCATAGAACCATGGAATCCCACAGTGGTTTGGGTGGGAAGGCCCCTTTTAAAGCTCATCCAGTTCCAGCCCCTGCCATTGCCAGGGACACTTTTCAGTAGCCCAGGCTGCTCCAAGCCCCATCCAGCCTGGCTTTGGACACTCCCAGGGATCCAGGGGCAGCCAAAGCTGCTCTGGGCACCCTGTGCTGGACAGCAGCATTGAAGCTGTCCTTTTTGTGTTGCACTCAACATTTTATTTCCTGACAAATGTGGGGGCTTTTTCTACTTTTTTTCCTTTTTTTTTTTTTTTTTTTTTCAGGAGCTAAAAGATGCTTTGTGTTCCTGGAGTGTTTTTCTGTTGTTTTTTCCAGTTAGTCTGGATCCTCTGCTTACATTTTTTCCTTCCCTTCCTAGATGTCCTGGATATGGTGGATGTTCTGATCGAGGGCAGTGATGACTTCGATGAAGAAATTGGGTTCTCTTTAAATGAAGACATGATTATCCAGACATTTCCCTTCAGTGCTGTTGTCCCTGCTGCATTAGAGGCCAGGAATGTACTGTTGCTTCAGTCTGGAGATGGAACAGGTACAGATTTTTTTTTGTTTTATGTGTTATTTCTACCAGGGGAGTGAAAGTGGCATCATTTTTACCGATTTTTAATAATTTTATACTATTTATCATTTTATGACATTTATTATCTTCCCTGCAAACAGAAGGGGGTGCAGATTCCTGGTGTTTCATGCTCAGGAGAGGCACTGAAGCTCTGTAGGTGCTTGTGCCCCTTCTCCCTGACCTGAAGAGAAGAGACACTGTCCCTGCAGGGACAGCCTTGGTCTGGCCTCAGTAACAGTGTTTTAAGGGCAGAGTGTGGAGGTCAGGAGGGGAAGGTGGTTTCCATGCCTGTGGGCAGCTCTTCCCCAGATCAGGGAGAGAGGACTGCATTGCTGAGTAGGAAATGGATGCACTGTCCAAAGAAAACTTCAGAAATGAAGCTCTGGTGGCAAATATTGCAAAGTTCTTGAGGAAACCACCTCCTTGAGGAAAGCCTTAAAATCACAGGTGGGCTTGGAGCAGGATTTGCCAGCACCACAGCACCTCATTGAGTCCTCTGTGTGTATTTGGCAGCACCTGGGGTGTGCTGAGAGTCCCAGTTCTGAAAGAAAAATCTGTTTAACTTGGACATGTTAACTGGGGTGTGCCCCCAGTACAGATCAGTTCTTCTTTCAGGTGGTGCTTGGCACCGTCCTGTTAAAAGACAGGCACGTTTAGCACAGCACAGTGAAGGTGGAGTATTTGCTTCTGCAAGAGCTAATGTGTGGAGGATTTCTCAGGTACCCCAGTGGTCAGAAACACTTGTCTAGGTCACTGCAAACGCTTTTTGATCTTGCTCAGTACTTTTCTGTGTGATGCTTGGAGCCAAGGCCCACAGTAAGGAGGGTTGTTGCCCCACTGTCGTGATCATGTCAACAGTTTAATTTATTTTTGCTTTCCTAGGAGCACACATCGTGGAGTACCTTGCTGCTGTGTTCACTGACCTCCTGCACTCTCAGAGGGAACCCCTTGCTCTCTGCTTGATGTTCCAGCTCTATGACAAGGATCTCAAGTCCCTGAAAGTGTCTAAGTACCCTCAGCTCTACCAGTTTAACCAGTACTACAAGCTCTGGATACCCAAGCAATCCCAGGAACCTGTGGTAAGGAAGGCCTGAAGTCACTGAATTCTTGAGCCACTATTCCTATGAAAACCTCACAGTTTGTAGAGGTTACATTTCCTTCAGAAACAGCATTTTTATGGAGCTAATTCTGCATTTCTTGTTGATCACATTGGGACACAGATTTGCTGCAGGGCATTTCTCTGGTGACACAAGAGTCTTTGTGGTGTTGGGGAGGGGATCCCAGGGCTGAGGGCTCATGCACAGACTCCTCACAGGCACAGCAGAGCCCGGTGCCTGCTCTGCCCTCCGTTTGCAGCTCCCCTGGGTGGGTGGAGGATCACAGCCCCCTGGGCTGGCTCTGGGGAGTGTTTCTCAGTTCAGCAGTGAACACTACGTCACATTCCCCTGGGGACACCGCTGGCCAGCTCTGCTCTAGCAGGGCTGCACTCTTGTGCTCCTGGAGCTTCAGCCCCAGTTCAGCTCAGAGCTCATCTCAAAGAGAAGAGATTCTTGTTTCATACTCATCACTGCTGCTCTCTTATGCTGTTTTTCACTTTGAACAGTTTAAAAACCACAAGGGGGTAAGTGAAGAACCTGCTGTGGCACTGGATTCTGTATTTCCCGCTTTGCTCAAGAGTGCCTATGAGAGAGGAAGCAATGCCTTACTGGAAGATGGTGTGCAGGCAAAACTGAGAGACTTGGCTTCCAGGCTGCCCCCTGAGCAGCTCTTGCTGGGAGTGAAGCACGTGCTGCTGTACCTGAAATCCACCGTGGAGAGCTTCAGCAGTGTAAGAGCAGTGCTGTCATAGTACTGTGGTTATGGCTGGGTGATTTTAAGGTAGAAGGTACAAATGGCTTGGCTGTTAAAATTTAGGTTCCAGGTCTGTAGCTCTTTTTCCTCTGCTTGGCTCTGGGGCTACACAGCACCGTGCAGAACTGCACCTAGAGCACCTAAACTGCAACTACACATACAAAACTGCATTTCATTTGTAATCAAATGTCAGTTTTTCTGATTATTGAAGAGTGTTGGATTTACTTTGCATGGGTTACCTTACTGATGAGTGTGAGTGTAAATAAACTCAAGATTTTAATCCAGCTCTTGGATCTCCCTGAGAAGCCTTTCACTGGCCTGTGTAAGTCCAAATGCCACAGTATAAATGAAAATCTATCAATATTTATTTGGCAGCCTGAGCCTTCTCTTAGAATCAGGTTTCTACATAGGGAAGTAGTTCCTTCCACAAGAAGCTGTTGTAACCTAAGTAGTTCTTAGTTGACTCCTATTCCTGTTGGATAATGACCCTCCTGCTCCCATTCTCCTCTTTTCTTCACTCCCAAGATGCCTTTATTTCCACAGGTTGGTAAAACCTTGGGTCCTCAGCTCATTGACCTCTATGTGGACATTCTGAGCCTCTTGTTGTGCCGGGGCAGTCAGGTAAAGCTGGAGCAGCAGCAGCAGCAGGAGGAGCACCAGGCTGAGTCAGATCTCTTCATGGATGAGGAGTCTCTGATGGCAGAAGGGTCTTCAAATGACCAGGTACCAAATCCTTGATGCAGAGGCACCTGTTAGTAAACTTGGATTTGATTGATTCTTTAGGGAGCAGTTTTGCTGAACAGAGAGGCGCTGGTAAGGTCTTGGAGGAGAATTTAGGAACATAGAACATGTGGTCCAGCGGCTGCAAAATTACTGTCTGGAGATGTGAGCCAGCTGCATCACCCACAGTCTCACCCCTGAGCTGGAGCAAGGTCAGGAGAGGTCCTGAAAGAGATCACCTTGCAGAAAAAAATGTATTCCCTCAGCCCAGTGTGAAAATTACATGGTTGATGAGTGAGTTTTGCCCCTCTTTCATCTGTTCTGGGAATTTGTGGAGATTAGAATGCATTGATGAACCTAGAATATTCAGTTTTCCTCTGGAGGTGAGCTTAGACATGTTTAGAATGTTCTGTATAACAGCATAAGTGTTGGGAGAATGGTATTTATGTGCTTGCAGTTCATTAATATTTTTTATCCTCTGGCCAGCTAGTAGACAATTTAATGTTCAATAATTGCAATTGACAAGCTGTGGCGGATGAATGAGGTTTTTTTTCCCCTGCACTATCCACTCATTGATACAGTTACCTGTGTTTGTTACAGACCCTGGAGGATTTGCTCGCCCTGATTTTCAGACACCCTACGCTGGAGAGCTGGTTCCTGGCCGTGCAGCTGCGCTCTGTTCCTCAGCCTGGCTTGAACCCCGTCACTGTGAAGCTCCTGTCAGCTCACCTCAGTTCTGGGGTGCTCCAGCTGCTGAAAACAGCTGCCCCCATCGTGCAGGGCCTCACAACAGATCACAGACACGTCTTGTCCAAGTATTTCGAGGCTGTCACCAAAAGTGTCCTGGCAGAGCTGCAGGCTGTGGGCAAGGGCAGAAGCCAGGCCTGTGCCAGGAGGTCTCAGCAGCTGCAGGCTCTGGAGGAGCTGCACACGTACATGGCTGCAGCCCAGCTGAAGGAGATCACTCTAACCATGCTGCAGCTTCCTGAGATGAGCTTGACTGAGCAGAAATCTGACGAATCCCCTAAGAAGGGGAAGCAGTTAAACTTCTATGGACAAGTTTTGGTGAAGCTCCTTACAGACAGCTACCAAAGGCATCCCCAGCAAGGAGAGTTTCTGCTCTCCACAGGGCACATTAAAGCTTTGGGGGTACTGATGTCAGCATCAGCCAGCAAGGATTTGGAGGAGGTTTTCCTCCAGGCTCTCCAGAGTGAGCCAGTCCTTGCCCTGGCTGTTGGTGTCGAGGTCCAGGCTCACTGCCTGGCCCGGTGCTCACACACCTCCCTGGGCATCGTGGCCGTGCTGATCCAGCACTGCAGGACTCACCTGCTGCAGTTTGAGCTCTGGTGTCTGGGCAGTGGCACTGGGAAGTTCCTCAGGAAGCACATGGAGAGCTTCCTGCCCCTCATTAATGTGTACTTGCAGTGCAGAGACCAGCACAGCTTCAGCCGACCTTCCGCAGGTGAGGGCACTGCTGAGCCCTGCTGGGGATTCAGGGCTCAGACTCCCTGCTTAGCTCCTGCTGGCCTTAAAGGGGTGGAATCTTTGCACAGCAGACAATGGTGATAAAACTTAGATGTCCTTTAAGTTTTATCACCTTTATCACCTGACCTCCAAGGGCTGTCTTGGAAGTACCTCTGTAGCACTGAAGGTGAAGAGCTGTTCTGAGGGCTGGCTCTTAGACTGCAGCCAAGGGCTCTTACAGTTACTGCTGCCCAGATTTCTCTTTTGAAGCCCTTATTTAATGCTCAGTGCATGTGAAAATCTGTCATTGTGCTTCTCCTGGCTTGGTACAGGAGGTAAAGCCTTTTGTTCAGATAGAAGAGTGTCTGCAGTGTGCAATGCCACAGCCAGATGGCTTTTGCAGAACCTGAGCTTTCACTTTGACAGAGTCCAAAAATTTCTTCTGAAACAAATCTCCAGCTGTGGGCTGGCTACAGTCATGCCCTCCTAAGCTGGCAGTCCAGAACTTTCCAAACCCACAGCAGCATTACATCCATGGACAAGTGTGTTAAATCCCTACCAGCAAAACGATGAGTCAGGATTCAACTGGATGGAACAGGATCACTTTAATTTCATTTCTCTTATTGCCCAGAAATGTAAATAGCAAAGGTAACTGACTGGGGCTGTAGCTCTCAGGCAGTGCTAAGAGCTTGTCAGCAGCCTGGGAAGCAGAGGATGGGTAAAGAAGTGAGCCTCTTGTAGCACATCTCTGTTACAGAGCAGCAGCTGCTGTAGCAGCATTCCCTAGAAACTGAGCGGTCTGGGCCTGGATTAGAAACTGATTTGGGGTGAGTGTGTTGTGTTTAACACCTGCAGGCGGTGGAACCTGTGCCCTCTGCTCTCCCAACAGTTATCTCAGCTGTCACCCCTGTCCTGAGGAAAGCCCTGTGGAAGGAGCTCTGTGCCGGCATCCAGGACAGCGGAGCGTCACACGAGGCCTCTCTGAAACTGCAGATCCTCGCAAAGTTACTGCCACCTGTGCAAAGCAAAGGGCTGCACAGCCTGATGGAGTGCCTTCCTGCTGCTCTGGAGAGAGCAGGGAGTGAGGAGAGGTGGGCAGTGTGTGTGTGTGTGCCTCCCTTAGGGCTCAGTCTGTCCTGTAACAGGAATGGGAGCTGGAACAGCATCCTCTCCTCACAGAATCCAGCCAAACATCTTTAACATGTACAGAACCAAGTTAAAGTGTTAATTAAAAAATCCCCAACTGTCTCTGTGCAGCTGGGCCGTGGCAGATGCCATTTCCACAGTGCTTAAAGACTCGGAGGAGCTGCGTTCCTGGAGGAGACAGCTCTTGTCAGCCTGCATGAAGGGGTTGGTGGCCACCTACAGCAGCAGTAAGGAGGAAAGCAAGCCAGAAGTGGAGAGGTCCATGCTGCTGAGGCTCGAGGAATTACTGGTGAGACTCCTTACCTGCTTTGCCACAGGGGGACTGCATGCATGTGTGTGATTGGGCAGTTGTAGGTTTTGTAAATACAGATTGGGCTTGATTTCCTCTTTTATGGATTCTGGTTGCCATGGACTTGTAATAGCTTTTGTAGAGGCCTGATAATACTTTATATGAAGCAGTTTTATATTCTTGATGATGACTTTTTGGTAAGAATCCCCTTTGAAGACAGGAGTTTGAGGTATTTAGGAGTAAAAATCAAAGGTTACCAGTGGAATTTAATTTTTTTTAAATTAAAAAAGGTGATGGAGATACTTCTGCCAAGACCCACCTGCCATGCCATCTGAAGTCTGGGGCAGAAATCTGATTGATCATGAATAGAAATCCAGACTATGATCCTGAAGAACAATACTTGGTCACTCCCTCTGTGCTGTCCCTGGGTTTGGGTTCTGATCACCCCATGAGTGTTTGGCCTGCATGTTCTCAGTGTGTCCCTTGAACTGAAACCGCTGCAGAGGCTCCCTGTGCCAAATGTAAACCAGCAATGTAAACCAGCCCCTCTTTTACTGCTGCACACAGGGTGTGCTTGGAGAAGTGGACCCAGATGACTGGTGCAGCCTTGTGAAGACAGGACTCAAGTAAGTGTTTCCATTTTAATTTGGTTTGGTGTTACTAAACTCGTTTTCTTTGCCAAGTTCTCATTTGTTAAGCAACTCTTAATTTCAAGCAGGTTTCCTTGGGTTGGTTGTGGCCTGACCCCTCTGTGCTCCCTCTCCCAAGGTACCGGTACAGGGATGGGACATTCCTGAGGGTGCTGAACGCTGCCATCCAGTTACTGTACAAGGAGGAATCCCCACTCGGGCAGAGCTTGCTCAGGCTCTCCAAGCTGCACATGATGGTCACACAGCACTCTCTGTTTCTGTCTGCCATCCTGAGGCACAGAGAGGAGGATGGCGCCAACGCCCAGACCAGAGGTATTTTACATCATCTCCTTCCCACACTGAACACAGTTATTCTTGTCTTTCTTGCATTATATTCTCTCCATCCGGCAACACACCCGCTCATGTAAATACTGCAGAGTTATTAACAGTTCCAGAATATTGGCATTTAAATTGTGCCTCTGCTTGCATCCAAATGTTGCATTCATTTTATGCTGGTTTTAAACACTTCAGTTTTTAAAACTGCTGGAAAGGTGGGTTTGGGTGTTTGTTTGTTTGTCTGTTTGTTTTTCTGGTATTTTTAACGCAGTCAAAGTCTCAGATTGATTCTTTTGGTTTCTGTGAGGCAGTTAGTGTAAGATCACTGAAGTGCACAAAGGTCCTGTGATGCTTAAACCTGTTCTAAAATAGGGTGACACAGGAGATTTAAAGTTGATTTTGCAAGTTTTATCAAAAATGGCAATTCAAATTATGTGTATTTCATATTGCAACCTTTCATGAGGAATATCCCTCCAGAGGAATACAAATTGGATGTAGTTCATGTGTAGGATTGGCTTTGTTTCTTCTTCACTAAAATCCTCCCTGGCCTTGAACCACATTTAATCCACACAGACCTCAGCTTTTCCCCACTGTGCAGAGGTTTGAGATGCAGTGATTGAAGGAGCTGTGTAAGAAAAGGGGGGGAAATTCTCAGGGCAGTGTATTGATAACAATTTTTGTTTATTGATGAGCAAAATGTAGACAAGCTTTTAAGTTTTAAAGCACCTGAAAAGAGAGAAAAGCTCTTGTGAGGTCACCAATTAGTGAAAATAAGGAATAGATTTTGCTGTTTACTGTGTGTATGTGTGTTACCTGTAGAGTGTATTTCTGTAGAATCAGGATGGATTCTGTGAGGCCAGCTGCTGTTCCAGAAGCTTGGTTCCACCAGTGCATTCAATTTAGGAGGGCTCCTTCAGGAGCTCTTCAGTTTTGGCATGTGTTTCATATTCCTGCACATAGCAGGGTCAAAGCCCAGGCCTTTCCAGATAGTGGGAGCAGGGAAACCTGGAGTTGGGTCCCGAGTGTGCTGCAGACAGCCTGTTTGTTCTTGAGGAACCCAGTCACTGGCACTTTGTGCTTCTCAGCTGGTTACAGAGCAAAGGTGGAGCATTTGTGTACCCCAGGGGACAGAGTTCCTGTGGCCCACAAAGCACCCACAGTGCTGAGCCCTGCTGGGACACAGTGCAGAGCATTCTGATATTTACTGCAGCTGGGGTGTTGGTTTGTGCTCTGTGTTGGGGTGTTGGTTTGTGCTGTGTGTGTGTTGGGGTGTTGGTTTGTGCTGTGTGTGTGTGTTGGGGTGCTGGTTTGTGCTGTGTGTGTGTGTTGGGGTG